CTGAGACTTTTATCCCTATCCTGCTTGATAGTGAGCAGATGGGTGACTGGACTTGTTGAGCTCGGCGAAGGAGCGGATGGAGGAAGGCCTAAGCTTGGAGAACCACTAACGAGCAGACCCCTTTAAGGTGGTAGGAAAGACTCTACACATTATCTCCTCAGGGCATATTGTGAAATTACATGAGGGATTTGTAGGTATCCAGGTGATCTAGGGGGTCCTTGGTGCCATTGAAGATCTCGATGGTGGGCATCTTGAACTTCGAGGATAGGGGGTAGTTAACGATATCAACAATGAAAGGGGTATCGGTGCACCTTATCAAGTAGTCCACGGTTTCAGGCGGCTGTGCCTTGATGGTGTTGGGGGTATCGCCAAGTTGGTTTTGTACCTCTTTAATCTTCTCGTCCCACTGGTTAGGGACATCCTCCGTTGGGTGGTGGAATTGGCTTTCATGGTCTCCGTATTTACTTTCTCTATCTTCGTTCTCCTGCATAGGTTCATGAGGATGGGGCACTCGTGAACTCTGCGTGCTGATGAGGGACTGGGTGAGGGGCACCGGTCCTGGAGTGTTCTGGCGAGGGGCTTCATGGTGTGGGGTTGCCTGACGCCCAAAAAGGATAGACAGTTGCTCCTCTCCTGATGGGGGAGTGGGACTCCTCCTACGAAGGGAGGGGGTGACGCCTCCGTGAGAGAGTATGAGTTGAATGATTTGCTGATTCTGGCTCACCAGCAACTGTATAGTTTGGAGGAGTTGTTGTTGCTGTCCAGCGGCGGGAGTAATAGTAACAGATGGTTTTACAAGTGCAAGGGGAGGCAGAGCCTCTTCTCGATGGATTGGGTTGTTGTCTTCTAGCTGTTGGCTCATTGATTGGGTAGTGATTTCTATGGATTTAATGAAATTAGGAAATTAGTCGTTTCCCATAGACGACGCCAAACTGATGATGCACAAATCAACTTTGCGCAAAATCAATAGTCAAGTATATGTAAGGGTGCAATAAATGAGTAATAAATAGACAATCAATGACAAAAAAGTAAATATGGAATCAACACAAAGATTTCTAGTGATTCGTTTTGGGTGACCTACTCTACTCTCGGGAATGACAGCGGTGGTCGGAGATCTTTATTGATGAATAATATCACCAGGAGAGTAACTCCGAGAGTATTACAATGTTTTGGAGAGAGAGAGAAAGAAATGTGTGTAAGAAGGTGTAGTGTGTGTAGGAATCTTGTAGAGGTCTCAAGGTCATGTCAAGATCTTAAGGTCATAAGGATATGCCCTTTATGTAGAGAGGACTTACATTATATAGGCTTAATAAGGCGGTGAGACGGTGACGTGAGGGAGATGATTTCTACCATTTTGGCAAGTATAGTTATGGTAGGATTAGATCTCCGAGCGTATTCCGATATTCTCTCCTCGTTATCCTATTTCGTCGGAGGATGACTCTGATCTTGAGCTTGCACTTAGAGTAGGCTGAACTTGGACTTGCATTGGAGTGAAAAGGGCAGAAGAGGAACAAGAGGGCAGGCCATGGGCGATGCCCACTTGGCGACCATATGGGCGGTGCCCCCTTGGGATACTCTTGGACGTGCGCCTCTTGGATGTTGGCCCTTTGGCTTAGGCTCCACTGGATTCCTTGTTAGTTTACGAGCAGCTCCTGTGATTTGGACTCCTGAGTTGATCCGGCTTTGGTTGGACTTTTCTTTGGGCTTTCTCGATTTATTTAGATTGGGCTTAACCCAGTCAAATTCGAGCTCATCAATAATTAATCTTAAATAAACATTTTATGAATTTTAATTTTAATATAACATAACAGAAGACAACACAGTCTACAAAACCAAGCAACGATTTTGCATCCCAAAATCTAAGTTTGGTGCATTTATAGACATCACAGAAAGCCTGAAAAGACAGCACCAAGATTATGATAAGGGTAGAAAAGAACTACAAGACTTTATACGACGGTTGAACAAATTTCCACGACGAATCTAAATATTTCTCTTAAACATATCTGTAATTTGATCATGAGACAGATTGCCATCACTGATGATGATTTTCTATCCTCGGAGGATCTCCACGTTCTCTGTGGTATCTATTGTCTCATATATCAAATCGATTTATTCTGCGACTTCAAGGGTAGAACCATCTAAATTTCTTACTATAAATTGTGAATTATTATTCAGAGTAATTTCAAGGAGTTGTAAAGTGCATGTTTTTCCGTCGAATTTGACATCCTTGATGCCCCCTTTTGTGGTGGCGAACATCACTCCAGCAATTTTTGAAGCTTTGAACAGGTTCACAATTAAATGGTGCAAACAATGCAGCAGATGAACAGGTTTGTGTACAAACCCACCCAACTCATTCTCTCTCCATTTGAACGGCGAGTGTGCCTCGAAGAAATCACGTAGATTAATATCGGAATCTGACAATGTTTCATCGGCATCCTCGTCGGGATCTGACAATAATGTTTTGTCATTAGTATTAATGAGTTGGAGTAAGATAACATTGGAGATTTCTAATAACAGAATAAGAGGAATTTGGTTCTCCATCATATGAATATATCCTGTGCCAATTTCTAATCTGAAGAAGAATCAACATTAACGTGGTTATACTTGTGAGTAAGCAAATGATGATAGAAGAACAGAGCATCAATTACCCATATCAATGCTAATGTTTCGCCATCAAGATGCAAGAACTTGTCGTGGAATGCGCGTAGTTTGGGCTCAACATCCCCCAGTTTATTGATCAGGATTTGTAGGAATTGGACGATGTGGTATGACTTTTGGACATTTTTTGCTGCAGCTAGCTTGGCCCTCTCCAGGTGATAGAGGTCGGGGCGAAAATGGTGATATGGTCCCAGGCCAATTCTGGGAGTATAAAGCTTCTGCCTTCTCTGCCAGCAAGTTTTTGGGCACATCAAAGACACATGGCGTAAATTTAGAAAAATGTCATTCACTCCCTCGATAATTAGTCATATATTCATAGATATCCTCAATATATTGTAAAAAGGGTTAATCTCAACTTGTTCTCCAAAAGATTATTCAAATCTTAATTTGCACACTTAAAATTTAAAAATATTAATTTATACTCTGAAAGATGCACCTGGGGTTATCTCCGTCCATTTTGCCATTAAAAACATTTGTGATAATTATAAATTGTACCCCTCAAAGTTTAAATTTTTCATATTTATAATTCAAAAAGAATTCTATCTATTAATGTTCGTTAAATAACTCTTAATTGTATCGTAACACAACATTTTCGTGTGGTATTTAAGTCAATAAAAAAATATTTTTCAAAATTTTAAATAAGTTATAAAATACCTATATTTTGCCTATAATACTCATTAAATAATTATTTTCTGTTTACAGTTAAACACAAATCTTTTGATTGTCTGATCAAATTAAAGTTAAATACAAATAACACAACTATAGATAAAAAATAGTTATTTAACGGATATTATAGATAAAAAATAGATATTTTTTAACTATTAAAAATATTAAATAGTATAATAAGAATTTTCATAATTTTCAATATATGATACAACACAATTGATTCGATATGAAAATATTTTTTGTGTTAAAAATATTTTTTTATTGACTCAAACATGACACAAAAAATTTATGATACGATACAATTGAGAGATATTTAACGAACATTAATGAATAGCATTCTTTTTGGAACATAAATGTGAAATATTTAAATTTTGAGATGTGTAATTTATAATTAACTTAAATTTTTATAGCGGCAAAATAAATGATCGTTAGTTTCAAGTGCACATTAATACGTATTTATATTTTTTAAGGTATAAATTAATATTTTTAAATTTTAAAGATATAAATTAAAATTCGAGTGATGTTTCGAAATTTAAGTCAGACATTAGCCCCTCTAAAAATTTACCGCACGCCTCCTTGTCTGTACAATCACTTCGGTTACCCCCTATGGTTAACAATGGAAAAAGTGACTGACATGATAAAAAAATCCTCAAAAATTTCAAAATTACCTTTCTATACCTCTATATCTATCCGCATGAAACCCAAATGAAATGAGAAGTCCTGACTCTCAATTTTGTTTAAGCTCGACAGTGACCCTATATTTGGACTTGGTGGACCGGTCGTCATATGTGATTAGCTCCAGAAGGGTGAGAAACTCCAAATTCTTGTAGAAGCTCAACAGTGCAGTTGGCCCAACTAGATAATGGGTTATTGGATCATTTGTTTGAAAAGGAAACTTGGATCTGAAATGATATGGGCTCAAGGGTTTATAGGTGTTTAATTAGCTCTCTCAATCGTGTTGAATGATACATGTTCGTATCAAAAAATATTTTACCTATATTCGATTCGTTTATTAATTCATGTTTAATGACTTATATCATATCAAGTTCATACTGTGTATGAACCGTGTATAACTGATATATATAAACAATCGTGACGTATATTTTTTCTGATTAGTTTTATCCATACCTGATTTGTTATTAATCGTCTCGTGTTGGATCCACTTGTTTATTGAACAGGTGATTTAAAAAAGATCCAAACCCTTTATTTTCGTGTCGTGTTAATGGATTGTGTGATATTTTGACACTCTTACATTTAATACATATTTCTAAAAACTTTTTTTTGAGACTCACGGATTTATGGCATAGGTTTCACTGTTCTGATTCAAATTAATCAAATTTTTATAATTGTCAAATTGATTTTATAAAATTTTATATTTTTTTTGAAATTTATTAAAATATTGAATTTAGGGTTAATGTCAGATTTGTCAAAATCTAAGTTGGTCAAAATTTTATATAAAATATTGGGTATTCGCATTCGTATGTATGCAACATGTCAAAACTGAGGGAAAATTCGACTGTAGTGCTTTTCCTTCAAAAGTGCATTTGATTGAAGGTAAAAATTAGGGTGTTTCGAACCTCAACGATGATAAGTTCTTCTCCAAATATTACATAACAAAAGATGGCACATCTGCAAAACCAAGATTCTTCGCTTTGGTTTTCCCAAACCAACGGTTGCTACAGCCATAGATATCGCAGAATGCCTGCAAAGTCAGCAGCAAGATTAGGAAGATGACAGAAAAAAATGATAAAACCTTCCATGATGCTTGGACAAACTTCCACGATGAATCCAAACATTTCTTGACGAATGTTCGTGCTTTCACCCTTGGCTTATTTTCGTATTGCTTATTAACGTCGTCAACAGCTCTCTCCAGTTTAGATTTCTTATTCACGCCAGTGGATTTTTTTATCCCGTTAAAAATATCGTAATTTGATAATGAGACAGACCGTCTTTGATGACGATGATTCCCTGTTCCTGCAGGATCTTCACGTCCTCTGCAGTATCTATAATCGCACACATCAAATCAACGTATTCTGCAAGCATAAGGGTAGACCCAACTGACATGGACAAAGCTTCATAAGCCACCAAGTTTCTTAATATAACTTCCGAATTATCATCCAGAGTTATTACAGGGAGGTGGAAAGTAAGTGTTTTCTCGTCGAATTCGATGCCCCTGATGCCCCCTTCTGTGATGCTGAACTTCATTCCAACAATATTTTGAAGGCTCGACACTGAAGGAATCTCGATCTCGTCAACTGGACTTTGATTTCCGTCAATATCAGTTTTTTGAAATAGAGAACGAATGTTCTCCCATGGCAATGCTTGAACGAACTGGATATGCTTCTGAATTGCTTGTACAGCAGGACCTCCAATACCTAAAGAACTGGAGATTTGCAGAATTTTTTGTGTGTTCCCCAAAAAATCAACAGATTCAGAAGCAGACATGATAATTGGAGGCGGAGGCTCTACCACAGGTTTCCGACAGTTAACAATTAAATGGTACATAAAATCCAGCAGATGAACAAGTTTGTGTTCAAACCCATATAACCTGAACTCCATCAATTTAAGCGGAGAGTGTGTCTTGCAGAAATCATAAATGACTTGAGCATCATCGAAAACTGACCATTTTTTGACATAATCGGAAAGTAACAACGGTATTTTCCCTTTGTCATTAGCACAAGTGGGTTCGGCTTGGATAGCTTTCTGGATTTCTTCTAACAGAATAAGCGGAATTTGGTTCTCCAGCATGAATATATCTTGTGCCAACTTCATACCTGCACTATAAAGTATTTGGTTGTTAAGTATAAGGATATTGATGGCAAGATCAAACCATCAATCGGCAATATCCATGCTGAAAATATAGCCATAAAGATCGTCATCCTCTGGAATACCACTACTCAAGTCGGGTAGGTATTGGTGACCCAGGGCCAGAAAATCACATCTAACACAATATAAACAAAGTGGAATATTTTATTTCTCTCTAAGGAAATAAATACAAGAATTTTTCGCAAGAAAACTCTCAAGACCTCTCCGGGATCTCTCTCTCTTTGTTTCTTCCTCACTATTTTGGAATGACTCAACAATAATGCATCATTGAAATGTTTTTGCAAGGTTAGAAAAACCTCTAGAATTTTCTTCCATTCATGAGTTCTTCACAAACACAACTCCAAATCCCACCAAAACCACCAGATATACCCACTAAAACACCCCAAACCTATGCTTCTTTATTCACAATCCATCTACACAGCCCATTGATAGATCATTACCAGAAAAAATTGACAAACCGGTGGTATTTTACCAAGGAAAACCAGCCTTCTACTTCACAAACGAGGAGATACAAAGTTCCAAATGGAGTCTAAAAGGTCATTTTGAAGTTAGATCTATTTGATCAAAGACATGTGCTTCTAAGGTTTGAACTGCACGAAGATTATGTGAAGACATGGCTCAAGAATGCCATTTTGATAGAAGACTATTTATTCAGATTCTTTAAATCGTTCTCAGGCCCAGGCAATGGACTCTCCATCGTGCCTTTATGAATCTCATTGCCTGGTTTGCCTTCGAATTTTTTCAAAAAGCCTTATTTAGAACTCTTGGTCAAGCCTATTGGAAGGGTCTTAGCCTATGACCAGGCTACTCTCTCTTTAACAAAACCAGGGGTAGCAATAGTTTGTGCAGAGGTCAATCTCTTGCTGAATAATCCGAATAGGATCTGGCTTGATATGGGAGAAGAAGGAGCAAGATGGCAAAAGATAGTCTATGAAAGAAGGAAGCAATTCTGCAAGAGCTGCAAGAAACAGAGCCATGGAGAAGAAACATGCAAGAAAAGGAAAGTCTCGCCTATGGGGGAAGATGGTCAAGGAAAGAGTCCAGATTTGGAAGCAAATAATTCTGCGAAGGTAAGAAAGGAGCAGATTAAGGGGAAGGAGATACTGCAAAATGCAAACTTAGGGAAGCTAACTAAGGAAACTCAAGATCATGGAAAATCCCAGCCGCAATCAAAGCACCCAAAGCCAGCACAGCAGTCGACAAGAGTATGGAAACAGCAGCAGCAGCTTAGGCAAGTAAATAATCCAGTTAAGGAAACAACAATCGCATTTGGAAAAGGAGTAAAATCTGTCATTACAGTGAGGGATATGGAGAAGGAATAATTCCCAACAAGGTTAGAAAAAGGAGATCATTCGGGCAAAGATAACGTGGAGCAGAATGAAGAGGATATTCCGCCAAAGAAAAGTGTGCAGCAGAGAGATTCTGAGAATCAATTGGGATCCAATCCAAATTTGGCTCTGGTGGTGAATGTGTTCCAATGAAGTTCCAAAATTCCGAATTCAAATCATATTGGTATGGCACAGCACAAGCAGCAAGGTGTTTCAAAGTGTCTGGAGAATCGGGATAAGGAAAAATCTCACAAACCTAAAATTCAACGAGTTAGATAACGGGCATGACATGCAATTGGATGAGCCCCAAGTTTCAAAAGAGCATATCAGTCGGCTGCCACAAGGTGATATGGATCAGTACTCTCCTAATGGAAATGTTGCGGGAATTCCTAATGAAAATGTGGATGGTGATACATGTATGAGAAAGGATGGTGATACATGTATGATTAAGGAGGAAGCTGGTGTTTTGGAATCCCTGCTAGTTGGGATTAAGGAAAGAAGTGGAGAGGAAAGTATGAGGGCAAATTCTGAAGAGGGGTGACGCCAATTAAATAAGCAGTGCTCTATTACAGCTGAATCTTTATCTACCTTTTTAATAGATCACAATTATGTCTGCTGGAAAGTCAGTAATGTGGCGTTTGATGATGATCGTGGTTTGAGATGTGTGAATGAACCTCCAAACAAAGGTTACCATTCTGATATGGAGAATTCGTCAAGTATGGAAGTTATAGAGGCAGCATCTCCAGTCTCTGAAACTGGAACGTGTACAGAAGCAGTTGAACTGCTTGAGAGAACTGCCCAGACTGGTATGATAACTAGATCAAAATCTAGATTCCTCTCCGCTTCCCATACTAGTCAATGATTAATTTAATCTCGTGGAATGTGAGGGGTGCAAAGAAGGAAGCCTCTAGGTTGAGAGTCTTGACACTCGAGAAATTGATTAAAATCAACGATGTTTGTTTGGTTATAATGACCCACGTTCCATCCCACACCAAAAAAAAAAAAAAATCCCGCCCAAATAAAATCCAACCCATATACACTACTCACCCCTGCACTCTACCCAAACCCTTACACGGCTACTCTCTGCTCACCCGTCACCTCTCACTCCTCTGCCATGGCTCATGGCTGAACACAGCGGCGACAGACCCCGGCTACCCGGACCCCTTACACAGATCCCATTGCTCGAAGAGATCATCCTTCACAGCAACCACCGATTTTGTCCATCACAGACATTGTCCATCACACAGATCGTTGTCCTACAGCTAAGTTCTCTTCTCCTTTCAGTCGCTTTGCCTTCTCGCATGCACATGGCAGAAGATAGCTCAGCCCAGGTACCTCCCTCTTCCCCTTTCATCGATTGTCCATCACACACTTTCACCAATGTTTTTTTGTGGGTTTGTGGTATATCGTTGGTGCCTTCAGATTTTTAGTTTATTTTTAACCGAACTGTATGGGATACTCCATTGTGTTGAGGTATTCGGTTAACCGAACAATATGGGATACATCATACACAATACCAGATTTTTTGTGGGTTTGTGGTATTCGGTTAAAAATATGCGTTTGTTTGATTGTTTGGTTAAAAGTTGCAATTTTTTGAACATTGTTCGGATTGCTGTTTTTTGAAAATTATTCGGATTGTTCGGTTAAAATGAACCTAATGTCAAGAAAACACAAAAATATTATTTGGATTGCTATTTTTTGAAAATTATTTTCAATTTTTTTTTGAGATCATCGTATGCATGTTTTTACTCAAACAAGATCCTCAAAAAATTTTAAAACACGATAAACACAGCTCCTTTATGAAGTATGAACATTAAGCTTCGTCGGAAGCATTTTCAGCCATTTTTTGAACTTTGTCCTTTTCGAATCCAGCATCATTAAAGATCGAGTTTCGTCCTCTTCAAACCTAGCGTCAAGCTTTGTCCTCTGTTTTCATATACATATAAAATTTCGTCCTCTTTGGATTCAGCATTGTCGAAGATCTCCAAAGTAACTAGATTTGTGTATAACTTTAGATCTAAACAAAGATCTGCATGTTTATATATCTATACACACTATGTTAGTGATTGGCAAAGGAAGTGGTATTGTTGGTGATCTGTTGGTGTGGAATGACTTTTGTACCTCTACCATATTATTTTTTAAGATACAATTCAAACACACGCTCTTATAATTTACAATACAAACACACCCTCTTATTTTTTTGGAGGACCCTTTGATTGTGAGTGTGTAGAAAATTGTTCCTGTTTTCTTCTTCCTTTCTGGTAAATTTGAGTGCTATGGATTTGATTATGTTGTTATGGCTTATGAGTTATGGGATGGTTTGTTGGAACTGTAATTTGGTAAAACAGGAACAATTCGGGATGATTGAACAATTTGTTAATTTTTTTTCTAAATATGTTTAATTTACCTGGTTGTTCATAATTCCAATGAATGTAAAATATCAGAAACCTTATTACATGCAATTGGGTATGAGTTGGGATACTCCATGTAGCAGCCATACAGTTTGGGGTTTTGGATTAGTGTTGATAATTACATATGTTGGATGCTCCATGTAGTGGCATTGGGGGTACGTGATTGGCTTGATATTTTTTCGTCTGAGGTTTATTGTGTGTAGTTAGTGCAAAAAGAGTTGCTTCCCCTCTCCCCCATAATGCTTCTTGAAAATGTTTGATACGGTCATGGTTACAAGTATTTGGTCTCTTCACATAGTAACCATGACCTTCTTTGTGGATGGGCTCATTAGATCTCGGTTTGGTTTCATTGTTTAAATGAGTGTAGTTTAATTGTTTAAAATAAGAAGCCTGATTTTCAAATGGGTGTAGCTCATTAAATCTCGATTTTGTGCTTTATATAACACAACCATTGTTTGATGAACACTTGAGCAAAAGAACTTTGATTTTCAAACGGTGCTAGATGGACTCTTATGTAAGGCCACCTGGTGAGACTTTGATAAGCACTAGAGCTGTCATTTCTATCATTGGACTTTTTTTATTTCATTAGATTTCGTCAATTTAGACTTTTTTGGGCTATTTGCACTTATTCTATCTAAAACTGTGGAGGTTTTCCTTGATTAGTTGTTAATGAAAAGAATTACTGGAGAAATCCATTCGACAGCCTGTACAAGATTGAGGATTACAGATGAATCAATTTATTTTTGTTTTGGGTGTAGGGAAATATTATTTTGGGTTCACATGCTTTGGATTTTGTTTATTTTTTGTTCTATTTTATGAATTTGGTGTTGTCTCAGTGAATTTGTTGTTTGAGTTTTGTACTGATTGTTGTGAATTTGGTGTTTTTTTTTTTGAATTTTTGGTAAATTTGGTGTTATCCACGTAATTTGTGAGTTGCTTTAATGATTTTTACATTCGACATGGTTTTTATAGGACAACTTAAGTTAGATTAATTTGAGTTTCATGGGTTTAACTCGGTTATAAGCTTTTATAGATTTATCTTTAACACTGTCATGTGACAGTTGACGTTGAACTTTTGTTAATAGACCTTTATGCCACGTATAGAGAATACAAGCAATGACTTGTTAATAGACGTTGAACTTCTATGAGATTTTAGAATACAAGCAATACATTTTAGAGAAAAAACAATAGTATAGAAGGTTTTAATTTTACGTAATTTCTCTTTCTAATAATGATTATATCCTGAAATGATTTTAATTGTTTGTTGGTTTTTAGATTAGTGTTGCTTTTAGGCATGAGTGCCAAATGGTTTCTATGTTTGCTATGTTTTTTCAGATATATGCTTGGTGGCTTCGTGAATTTCATATAAATATGAAATTGGGTTATTTGCATGGTGATGGATTTAATTTTAGGCATTTGGATCCATGTTGACAATGGATGCACTGCTTTTACTAGAAAAAAAATGGTGAGAGTTGGGTTTTTCCTACTTCCAAAAAATTCACTTAAACATTTTTAACTGTAAAATTGTCACAGTTTAAAAAATCCATGGAAGCCTTTGTTTTATTAGTATAGATTGATATTAATTGTTCTATGTATTTAAGGTGAAAAATGTTGGTCTTGAGTGGCAACCAATTTTATTTTAATTGTATCTTAACATGAATGATTTTGTTTGTAGTCTCAATTTCCTATTAAATTTGTGTTATCCCAGTCCAAAAAAAAAAAATCTTGATGTTATCATTGAAATGCTATTAAGGCAAAATCTTCAAATGTTATACTGTATGGTTCTGGATTTGATGGTCAAAGTATCGATGCTCACTTTTAGTTACAAACTTCAATTATTAACTCAAGTAGTTGGACATTTTGAACTAGAGGTCTTGAAATTTTTTTTATTTTAATTGTAATTTTTTTCCTTAATGCATCAATTGTTGACTTTTTATTTTTGTGTTACGATGCCTATAGGAACGAGTGTGACCTTTTTGGTTTTTCATTGTAGACTTGATTTGTAAATAATTTGAAAAAAAAAAAATCCGGCTTTGGGATTGAATTTCCATCATGTGTATAGTGTTTCACTTAGTTTTCGGGTTGAATTTTTCGGGAAGTGTATATTTTATTTTGAAAAGTGTTTGTTTAGAGCTTTTAATTTCTTAGAACTATAATATGGTAGATGGTGATTGAGTTGGTTTTTTATTACGTTGGTTCTCATTATTATTTCCCCTTTTTAATATGGTAGCTCATATTTATGATTTTATTGTTATCGTAGTTGAAATTATATTGTGTGTTATGTGGTAAGTTTAGTAATTAGTTTGAGCCTTATTTTTACTTGCAGACATGAGTTCATTGCTATTGGATATATTTTTTTTTTGAATTATGTTGATTCCAACTGACGAGAAAAGCAAAAGGATATACGTTTTAGATTTTCGGGTATACATGTAAGCATGCTTGGGATTGTTTTTTTGTGACTTCACATCCAAATGATGTTGATCTCAATCAGACAATATTGTGGTGGTTGTTGTTAGCAATCTTATTGATATGCAGTTTGTTTGGGTAATTTTTTCTTGAGATTGATTGGTTATGCAATAGTTTGTGTTCGACAATGATACATACTATGAAATATATTAACTCTGTAAACAAGTTGAGATTTTCTTAGCGGGAGCTTGATTGATGTTAATTTTTTTAATTAAAATAAATGAAGAAAAATTTATTTCAAATTGATGGATTTTTTAGTTAGTAAAATGTCTTTACGCATAGTTTAATTTAATTTTCGTTATCCCGTGCCTTCAGGCATGGGCAATTACTAGTTACAATCATATTGGATATCAAATCGACAGAGGAATTGAATTAATAGTTCATTGATCCAACCGTTAAGTCAACTAGTTGTACCGGTCGTATAATAAAAAAAAATTATAAAACATAATAATTTAACTAAAAAAAATAATATGGTCATAAGATTCAAAGAATAAAGAACATAAACAAAAAAGATTACTATTTATCACAAACAAATCAAAACTATACATTGCATAAATAAAGTAAAACAATAAACAAAAAGAAATATATGAAAACAATGAAGGAAGAAATGCCTCTGGACAGACTGGACTTCATTAAATTAAAAATAAGTGTGTATGTGTGATAGAGAGAGAGAGAGAAAGTAGTAAATGACAATTAATGCCAGCCAGTAAGATAGAAATGATCGAACTTTTCTTTGAAGAATGCGAAAGAGCCATTTGTTTTGCACACATTTCATGACTAACAGTTAACAGGCAAGTGCAGCAGACAAAGAGGGAGGGAAAGAGGACTTAACAAAGAGATATAAAAGATGTCGTTGTCGTCTAGAGAAGGAAGAAATTCGTCGCAAGATTTCTGATGTCGCCTCGCTTGGATCTCGTCATTGTTGCCTATTGAGAGAAGAAAGTCTTCAACTGTTGCATGTTCGTCGTCTGAAAAGGAAGACTTGAACTTTGAAGGCTGAAATAAAGAGCGAGTGAGACTCTAATTATCCGATTTTTAGAATCTGTTTGATTCATCAATTTTTTAATTTAACGGTTAAAAGATGATTCCCATGACTATGTGGTCTAACTAACTCAAGAACTGGAACGTTCTAAATGCTAGTTCATAATTCACCCCGTCTGATCAAATTGTCCAGTCTAATTCTGATAACATTAACTAAAACTCCTTAGACTTGTGACGTAATTGCAAGAGTGACGGATTTCATTCGTTTTAATGGTACATATGTGTCATGCAGAAATAAAATAATGTAGGGTAAATTAAAATGACACCCTCTATAGATTGGTCTAATTATAAAAATACTCTTTTTATTTTTTAAAATTACACTGTCATCCCTTAACAAATATAACAAAAAATAATTTTCAAAATTACCCTCATCATATATTATTTTTTTACTTATCATCCTTTCATATATTTAAATGTTAATAAATGTATTATTTTCGGATTCAATTCATCAAACTTAAAATTGACTGGATCAACTCATTTATTTAATCGTGTCAAACTTCTTCTATAATTTTGTTTGTATGTTAATACGAACAATATGAAATTGGCACATAACAAATGTTTAATTGGTATTATAAAAATAAAATATTAATTATTTGTTGTTGTTTATTAAACACAGACATAATTATTGTACAAAAATGATATTTTTATTCATTATTATTAATATTTTTATTAAGTTAATTTTTAATTTATAAAAAAAATATGAGCATAGATTCAATTAAGTGATAATAGAATTTTAAACTTAAATATTAGTGTTAAATTTTTTTATTTAAAGTTTATATAAGTCAACACGAATATGAATACACCGCACATGTAGCCCAGATGGAGTTAAACCCATACAAATCGTAGACGCGGATATTAGGGGGTTCGACTCTCGCTGGTGTCTCTCAGGCTGAACTGATACCTAAGGTTTGAGGGTGATTGTAGGTACCCGACTTTATTTTCGTACAGATGGGTCCAAAGTGGCCCTGCCTTAGAGATATTCCACGTTATCAAAAAAAAACACACACACACACACAAAAATACGAATATAAACACGATACAAAAATAAATATGTTAGTCTAATATTGTTTAGGAATAATATGGGTATTAAAGTGTTAAAAGTTGATGTTGTAATCACTTTTTTGACATTATTAATAATGATACTAACCACAGGAGTACTTTGTGAAATGGATAGGTAACAATAAAGGGTGTCAGTATAATTTTAAAAACTTAAGGGGGCATCTTTGTAATTAGGCTAATCTAAGAGGATGTCAATATAATTTACCCAATTATTTATTGAGTCATGTCCTATTTTTTTTAAGTCATATTTTCATATAACTCGTTTATTGCAAATCTGAAGATCAGAACCCCTTTTCTCATCCAAATCTACCACATAATATGTCATCAGAATTACAAATCTACCTGGTCTTCATTCTAATCAAACCGAAACAAAAATCACTTACGGTGTGTTTGGTATGCAATATAAAGTTTGGGAATAGAATATGAATTCTTTGGTAATGCCATTTCAATGTTTAGGTATTAGGAATTAAAATCCATCCCCATTCTCAAGTAATGAATAATCTCACAAATCATGGGATTAGACATTATATTGATCTCCCTTCCCTTGATCACATAGCGCAATGTTGATTGTTTATTATTAGAGCAATGTTATATGAACTTAAAAAATAAACTTGATAATTATAACTATTGATTTTACTGTGGCTCTCAATATTTATTGAGACCCACAACTTATTCAATAGTTGTAATTATTAAATTTATTTTTTTAAGTCTAATTGTTAAATTTATGTAACATTACTCTTATTATTGAATCATTCCGACTCTCTCTCTCATCTCTATATGAAACGAAAGGTCATATTGGGTTTGATTACCAATCTCATTTAATTTCTTACTAAATTTAGTCAATAATTTTCAGATCCAAGCTTGAATTTTTAGAGTTTGATATTTTTTTTTTACCTTTTTAAATATAAATCAATCTTTTGGAAAAAATTTCAGATCTATTTTTTTTACTTTTCTAATTCAACATATGGAATTAGCTCTTTATGAAAAATTTTGTTAGTGCACTTTGGCTTTGTAGAGAGGTGTATGGCGATGTGATGCCCACTTTTCCTGTATTGATTCTAATTTTTCAAGATCGGTCTTAGTCGATCATAACAACTGATAATTTATCCTTTTAAGACCTAAATTATTTAGAATTAACCGAAACTTCTAGAATGGCTCCAAAAAGAACGATAGAAAGCCTCTTATCGTTTTTCATCTACTCAAACCAAAAACTTGTTATCCTGTATTCAAACTTAAAAAACGTTGGTTCCATGGGATGAAATTCAGACTTTTCAAAGCTTTCTTTGTTGCCGATATGAAGTTCGTAAGCAGTCTTATTGGAACTGGATCGGATTGAATCAAATTGATCGGACCAGTTTAATTATTCCTCTGGATTTAGACTGATCCGATTTTTTAATTAGACCACATAAGAAAGAGAACTGACTTAGTATCATTAAACTGGTCGATTTTGAACCAAAATCGTGAACTGAACAGGTTTTTCAAATTGGACGGTTGAAAAATCAATGCTTATATATAAGGGTGTTCAAATTTCTAATTACTCATAAATTTTAATCATATTCTATACTACCCTACTCAGTTCCATTGATTGACTACTCGAAAGAATTGGGTAGGCCAACTCAAATTTTTTTTTGATATTTTGTAAAAAATAGGATAAAAACATAGAATTTTTACAAAATTTTCGTGTTCTTATTCTACCCTACCATATAAATATATAAAATCTAGAAATTTTAATATTTTATTGATATTTATGGCTTCTTATTATGTTTTTCTTGTAATTGTTTATGTATTATTAAATTTATTATGTTTTTTTTAGTATTATTGATTTATTGTGTTAGTTAATTGGTACGTATTATTTGATTAAATTGTTAAAATAATTTCAAAATTAATAAATAAAAAATATATATTCACTCAATTTTTCATCGAACTTTCCTTCCGATTGACGTGGACGGAATTTAGATAGGAGTCGTACACTTAATAGTATATGATAGCTCAAAAAAATATTCTTCTTTTAAGTACCGTAAAAAGATGAAATATCGTAATTTCATGATCACCGCTACTTACATATGAAAAAAAAATCATCTATTTGGACATTTTGCCCTAAATCAATCGCTGAATCGCACAAAACAGAACACTTCTCACTCTCAGTTCTCACTTCGCACTCTCAGGCTGTCGCACTTCACCCTCACTCCCTCAGTTCAGTGGCCACACTCCGGCGAAGAACATCATTCTCAGGGAGGCAACCACTCAACTTGATCTGTCTCACTTAGTCCCTCATACTCAGGCGACGAGCAAGAGCTGCTTCAACAGCTTCAGCCTTCAATCGGTGGATTCTGAGTCTCCTCTCCTCCCTTTCCTTGCTTCTGTAACGTAAGGTAAGTGTGTAATACTATAATAAACCTCTTTCTCTCTCTCTCTCTCTCTCACACACACACACACCATTGAAGATTCTCCCCACTGTCACTCTCTGTCTCTCACAAATGTAATTCTTCTCTCCCCCTCTATCTTTCTCTCTGAATTGAAACTGTGAGATTGTGGATTGAGGGTTCCAATTAATTTCTCTGCCAACTTTGATTTATCATAGGAAGACTTTTTCTTTTTTTTTTTGCGTCGGCTAAGATTAGGGTGTCACTCGAGTTGTATCAAATTGACGAGTCACTACAGGTTTGTGTAAAATATTAGTTAAATTTAACTTAAAATATTTATATAATTGTATCGTGCCGAGTTGTGAGTTGATTTATTTATTTTCGTATCGAATTGTATTTGAGTCCAAAATTTTTACCCGAAAAAAATAATTTTTTTTTAATTTAATATTTAAAATTTTAAATTTTTTTAAATTTTATTTTATATATATATATATTTTACCATTGTATTTTTATGTGAAATTAATAGATACATAATATATGTATATATAAAATGATATAAACAAATAAGACATAGTTCAACATAAATAATTAATTTTTCATCAACTTTTCTTTCGATTTTGGAGGGATTGATTTTGGTGAATCGGAAGAAAAGTTAATTCATTCACTCTTCCATCCTTCTTAATTTCCTTTTTTTATCAAATATGATGTTTTAATTATCTTTTTAATTTTTCATCCTCCCATTTTTTTATCATACCAAACAGAACATTAGAGAATTTAAAATTGTGAGATTGTGAATTTTATTGGAAAGTGATTGGAATTGTTTTTTGTCATTGTGGATTTTATACTTTCAGTATGTTTGATATTTGGTACAGGTCTTTCTTTTCCTTTGCTTCATTAATTTTATTGGAAATTATATGTATTGTAGACATATTTTGATATCCTAAAGACCTTGAAGCTAGAACGGTTAGGAAGTGGAACAAAATATTGGAGGGAATAAAAAAATCTATATAACAAAACAAGATCTATTTTAAATTCTTTAATGAAATTCACTTAAATCCAATAATTCAAAATTATCACCAAAAAGTTTCTCCTAAAATCAGCCCATACTTTTTTACTTTAATAAATGTCAAATTTCCTCAAAAGTTGAAAATTCCACTTTTCCCATACATTTTCACACTAGAAAATCTCTCCCAATTTTTTTTTAAAAATAATAGGACAAGATTGATTTTGAATTGTGCAATTGTAGAACAAGAAGGAAAAATTAATTTTTATTTTATATATTTATAATACACGACTGATGATAGAATTATTTGTGCTACCTAGTGTATTTAGGCCAACTTACTGCTAGTATTACATAACAAAAGACGACATACCAGGAAAATTAAGATTTTTTCCTTTGCTTTTCCCAACCCAACGGTTGCTACATCCATAGATCTCACAGAACGCCTGCAAAGTCTGCAGCAAGATTACCACGATGATAGAAGAAAGTGATAAAACCTTCCATGAAGTTTGGACAAAATTCCACGAGGAATTCAAATATTTCATGATGAATCTACATGCATTCATCCTTGTCCTATTTTCGTGTTGCCTATTAACTTCATCAATAGCTCTCGTCAGTTTAGATTTCCTATTCATGCTAGTGGATTTTTTTATCCCGTGAAAAATATCTGCAATTTGATCATCAGAAAGATCGCCACCAATGATTCTCTCTTACCGGAGGATCTTCACGTCCTCCACTGTATCAACAATCCCACACATCAAATCGACATATTCTGCAAGCTCAAGGGTAGACCCAACTGGCATAGACAAAGCTTCATAAGCCACCAAGTTTCTTAATATAACTTCTGAGTTATCATTCAGAGTGATCACAGGGAGGTGTCAAGTAAGTGTTTTTTCATCGAATTTGATGCCCCTGATTCCCAATTCTGTGATGGTGAACCTTATTCCCACAGTTTTTTGTAGGCTTGACACCGAAGGAATCTCGATGTCTTCTACTGGATTTTGATTTCCATCAATATCAATTTTTTGAAATAGAGATCGAATGTTCTCCCATGGCAATGCTTGTATGAACTGTATATGTTTCTGAAGTGCTTGTACAGCAGGTCCTCCAATTCCTAAAGAAAGTGCAGAGTTGTAGCATGTTTTCTGTGTTCCCCAAAAAATCAACAGTCAGTTTTTACGGATATGATCAATGAAGAAGACTCTACCACAGGTTTCCGATAATTTACAATTAAATGGTACATATAATCCAGCAGATGGACAGGTCTGTGTTCAAACTGATATAGCCGGTTCTCCATCAATTTAAGTGGAGAGTGTGCCTCGCAGAAATTATAAATGACTTGAGCATCATCGGAAACTGACCATTTTTCCGCATCATTGGAAACTATCACTGTTGTTTTCCCGTTATCATTTGCACAAGGGGGTTCGGTTCGGATAGCTTTCTGGATTTCTTCTAACAGAATAAACGGAATTTGGTTCTCCAGCACGAATATATCCTGTGTCAATTCAATACCTGCAAAATGAAGCAAGTGGTGTTGTTATTCAGGAGTTACATGTGATGCAAGATCAAACCATCAATTCCCAATATCCATGCTTGTAAGTGTAACCATCAATCGTCATCCTTCAGAATATCACATTAAAAGTCCGGAAGAAACCAAACGAGGATGTTTAGACTGAAGGGGAGGAAAAAAATCCCAGCGATGTCAAGTTTATATTCAGAAGCTGTTGCAATCAGGCAATTTTGTCTTCTTGCACATGCTTTACAATTACAACATGCTACTGTGGTTTACAATTACAAACCCACAGAAGCTCACTAGTTCTCCAACAATTCACAACAAAACCCAAAATCCCCCCTACCTTGAAATATATATATATATATATATATATATATGTATAAGTAGTAATGTTTGTATACATATACGAACAATTTTCTAAAGTTTGGTGGAATTTGTTGGCGAACAAAAGATATGGCAAAATGGGTTGAGTGCAACAGTTTAAAGTATAAATAGGTGATTTGTAAGTGCTCATAGTATAAGGAAGTTTTTTTTTTTTGTAACTAATCTCTTTTCACCTATGGATAATTAGAAGAAATATTCGTTGTACGTTGAACCATGTTGTTAGGATCTCATTTGGGGACTTTAAGTAACTCTTCATTCTAATGTTTTTACAAATTCTCAAAATTTCTACTTTAATTTCAGTCCATTCATAACAATATGTTCAAAATTTCTTGTTAAACTCTTTTTTTTTTTTTGGCAATGCCTTGTTGAACTTGAATTTTCCAACCTTCTACGGAACACAAGGGTTTGATGTTGTTTGGAATCAATGGACGTTTATTTTGTGTTGCTACCCAAAAATTATCACTTTTTCTCATTTTTAAGACCAAAAAATGGATTCGGCCCGAGGCTTCAATCCTAGGCCTTGGCTGGTAGGGATAGCCTGATAAATTGGGCCGGGCTAGGAAAGGGCCTACCAGTAGCTGTAGCATCGTATTTTTGTGGTGCAATTTCGAGTTGTTAGTGTTGGTATTAATATCCATGTTGATAAAAACTATTTAATTCTAAACTAATTTATATAATACTAAATTAATAAGTGAAAAAATAAATTCCTTTTTTTTTTCTTCTTAAAGTATTACCTAAATGGGGCATTCGTGTTTTAACAATAATTCAATCAATTTATAATTTTTATTAAATAATTAGACAAGTCATTTTTTAATTTGTGGGAATTTATTTTGTGTTGTATTTATATAAGAGGCAAAAATTGGCATTCCCAGTTGGCTCTATTCCCCTCATTCATGATGAAACTCAATTTATCTGAATACGTTAAAAACTCAATTTATCTAAATACGTTAAAAATAGACAAATTCAATCTAAATACCAATGAATTTTTAGTTTAATGGTACTCTTTATCTTATAAATATTTTGTCTTCTTGATGTCAAGGGTTCAAATGCCCTTCCCTCCCCCCCTCCCCCCAAAAAAAAAAATCTAAATAATTCAATTAAGATAAAATTTAGTAAATTACATTTGTATTTCAGCTTAATTTCATTATACATCATCTATGTATCCATACGCATGCTGGAATCTTATCATTATTGGATTGATTACTAATATATCCAAAACCAAATCCATTACAAGATTGTCGATGAAAATATAAAAATATATTTGATTATTTAAATCTAAATTTGAATTAAAATTTGATTCATTCACGATCTTAATTGTAAACCACAGTTAAAATTTTTGGGCATATCCTTGTGCATCCTTATTAATGCAAGTATGGTTGTTATATATATATATATATATATATACATATATACACACTAGCATCTAGACTACATAGTATCATATTCATGTCATGCTATTTTGAGTAAAATTTTTTTTTATTAATAATAACTTAATCTATTTTATTAAACGTGACAAATATCTTCGACACTAATTCGACAATTTTATTAATCCTATTGTATACGAATTGAAGAGTATTTATGGGAGATGGGGGAGAGGCTCAGTGAAAAGAGTTTACTCTCGCCCGCAAGTGATTATGGGTTCAAACTTTGTCACCTCCCTCTCCCCTGCTTCCAGCAAACTATGAATGGTACCCAAGGAAAATGGGAAAAATTACCTTTTTTTTGGGGATTAAAAAAAAAAACCTGGTTGATCTAACAACCATAAAAAATTCAAAATTGACTTGGATAATTTAATATCAAAGGATTAGGTTAAGAAAAGAACAGCCTCACCAAGTCTTTTCTTATAATTTGTTTCTTTCCAAGTCTTTTTTATTTGTTGGTAAACAGATGGACTTATTAAGAATTTTTTTATGCCTTACATATGCAAATGAATTCTTTATCTATTATATTGTTTTTCGGCCTAATCCATAATTATTATTGTCTTGAATCATTAAATCTCCTGAAATGAATTGAATTTTTTATTCCATTACCCTAATCCACCTACCATATTTTCTATTTTTTTTTTTATCAAAAACTATTACGGAGAGAAGGTGACAAGTTTGAATCAACGACATTAAAGATTAACAACTTCCTAGTTGTTTTATGTGGTTGTTGGGGACCATACCCACAATTATTGCCGCCTTTAATCTTTGTATATGCTCAAAATGATTTGGACTTTAATTCTATAAAGCTTAGATTTCAATGAGAGATTATATATATATGTATTTATTTGTGTGTCTATATTTATAGACAAACTAGGAGTAATCTGTGTCTGAAGACACGGTGAAACATAAGTGAGAAGTGATAAATTTGGAGGGAAAGGGAAATTCAATATGAATAGTTTTGAGAGGGATGTTGATAACTATTGGATGATCTATTTGAGACTATTGGATGAGTTTATTAAAAGTTGTTATGTTTTGTATTATAGATTAAGCCGTACGTAAATAATGGTGGTGTGTCTATATTTGTGTCTTAGGCTACAATCCTGAAGTTCTTTTTAAGTTAGATACAATGACATTATCTATCTTTTCTACTAGAAAATCCAAGGGAAAAAAGATGGAGTAGTGCATGGAAATTAAGATAAAAAGCGAATCTGACAAGCACTAAGCAAAGAAGCATAAGCAAGACCCTGAATGAGTTCTTTTGGACCTTGAGTGATTTAGGTAATTTTAGTTGTTCCTCACCCTTCTATTGATTCAGTAGTTTTATTTTTTAGGGTTTTCTATTGATCTTGTTGTTGGGTCAATGATGATTTGATAAATTTTAGTGGGTTTACGATGTGTGCATGTTAGTTTGCTTTTCCTTAAGTTACTTTTGATGTGCTAGACTATCAATTTTGTTAATACCATGTCTAGGCAATTTACACAGAATTATAATGACAATCAATTCAATTCAGTGGACATGATAATGATGCATGCATTTCATGCAGCTCAAATGTAAAAGAGAAAAATCATGACCATGCTGGTTATATGTTGCAAATATGTGTACTTTTAGCACTGAAATTTTCACCTATGCAATTTTATGACACCTGCTAACTGGGGCTATGTACATTTCGTTGGAGAACAACTACTTCTTCCCTTTAATTCATCCATCCTCCGTCTCTTATGGTCACTCAACCATGAACTAATATTGTCTTTCAAATCTTAGTATATTTGTTCAACTCTTTCATTTTTCGTTCAAATCTCATGAGTCAAAATATAAACATGAACTTGAAAAATGATAACATAAAATGTTAACAACGAATAATTTAATATTATTCACATGCAATACACGTGTGCACCTATTAGTACGTTAAACACACATTAATATACCAAAAATACACAAACATACACTAATACAAAAATTAAAACACATGTAATAAAAAAAATACACACACACATAATAAGTCGGGGTCGATTGTGGGCCACAAATTGATCCACAGGTCATGGGTCGGCCCATGGATCGCAGGCCAACCTATGGGTCACAGGTTGCAAGTCGACCGCGTGGTCATGGGTGGTGTTTTTGGTATGCTAGTGTGTGTATTTTGGTGTATTAGTATATATATGTGTATATTTAGTATATTAGTGTGTGTATTTTTTGGTATATTATTATATTTATTTAATTTTATTACTTGTGTTATTTAATAGAAAGATAAATAATCAACCCAATGGGTACTCATTTATAATTCATATTAACCCACTTAATTAAAATGAATCATATTGTCTAACTCATTTAAAACTCATATTAATTAATATAGTTACCTAACCCATTTATTTATGGATAGGTTGGACAGATTTAGGGGTGTTCATCCTACCCTACGGGTAGGAAATATACTCTTCCGTCTTCTTACCCAATACTTTATGAAAGAGTTTTTTCTTGGCCTACCCTACTCGACAGGTGTGGTATTCCTACCCGACTTCCTACCTGATTAATCGGATAGGAAGTCGGGTAAACATTTGAGAGCAAGGCAACTCCTCATTCCTTAAAACATACAGTTTCTCACAGTAGTCAGATTAGCTAACATATACTAGACAAGAAGCCAGGCAACGAAATTAAAGGTATAGTTTATATTGCGATGAATAACAGTAGTCAGTTTCTCACAATAGTCTATATTGCGATGAATAACAAACCGAAATTAAAGTTACTGCTGGCACAAACAACCCATTTATTTAGTTTTGTGCATCATCACTAGCCTTGGTTCCAAGGCCTTTCCAACAAAACACCACCAACCATACCGACACCATCCAAAAAGAAATATATTTGAGAGAGAGAGGTGGTGTCTGCCCTTCAAAAAGAAAGACATATGCAAACAACATCCAACCAGAGGCCATATTTAGGTTCACTCGTAAGTATACACAAACAAAATGGCAATAGCCAGATCTGCAACATAGGAACAAAGACTAGGCCATCACGATCTGCAACATAGGATAAAAACTCATGGATTTGCAACTCAGATCAGACACGATCAGATCGCGCATTGATCTGTAACTCATGACCAGATCGTGCACAGCGACACCGATCTATTATTGTAAATGAATATCTGCGATTAGACCTTTCAAGCCAGACCACACCAGAGAGAGAGAGAGAGAGAGAGAACTTGGGTGGAAATTCTGCAACGATAAAGGAGGAGAAGTGGAGTGACCGAGTAAGATGTGAGGCGCAAACGCTATTAGGACTCAATAGATTAGGGTTTTTTTAGTTTATATATATATATATATATTTAAAATTATTGCTGGTAGGGTAGGGTAGGAATACAGAAAATTGATGATTATTCCGCATTCTTATCCAAAAATTGTCGGAAGACAAAAAACTATTCCGCATTCTTACCCGATTTTTGCGGCTAGCTCTTCAGTAGGGTAGGGTAGGGTCCGGTAGGGTAGGAACTTGCGGTCGGTCGAAAATTTGAACACCCCTAGACAGATTAATGGATAATGGGTTAAGATTATCACCTTCATATATGACCAAAAAAATAAAAACGAGATATGGTCTGCTTTGAAACTGTAGTGGATGAAAAGGTGGGACGAAAGAGCCATTGGCTCTTTTATAATATAGGAAGTGGGTCAAATGGATCTAAGCTGGTCAAATTCATTAAAACATCTTTTGATTTTTATACTTTCTTTTTATTAATTTTTCATCTGTCTTTGCTTACAATCACTATAAAATTGTATGTTTAGCTAAGATATAAGCTAAAATTGTTTAAGATCTAAGTAACTTATAATGATACTAGTTATTACCTGTGCCTGAAGACACATAGTAATAAAAAAATGGTAAATAATAAACATATTTGTATTTATATACAAAATCAAATAACAAATATAGAGAAGAGATAAAAGAATTTAATTATCAGTTTGTAATGGGGCTGAGAGATGGTGGGCAGCAGTAGTGGTGGTAGGAGACGGTGATGGTTGTGGTGAGTGGCAATGACTGTGGTGGCAACAAGGCCGATGGTGATGGTGGTGGTGATGGCGGTGGCAGTGGCAGTGGCGGTGGTGGCGGCGATGGTGACGACAACGACGACGGTGGCGACAACGACGACGATGGTGGGGGTGGTGGCGACAACAATAGTGGTAGTGGTGGTGGTGGTGACGATGGTGGTGGCAGTAGCAGTGGGGGCGCTAGT